GAGGGGGAGCAAAAGAGGGCCTGTCCCGCCGGGCGAGAGCGGGCGCGCTCGCGAGCCCCCCACCCCTCTCGCTCTCCCTCTCTCTCTCTCTCTCCCTCTCCCTCCCTCTCCCCCGCTCCCCCTCTCGCCCTCCCTCTATCTCTCTCTCCCTCCCTCTCCCTCTCTCTCCCTCTCTCCCCCTCTCGCCCTCCCTCTCTCTCTCTCACCCGCTGCTGCGGCCGGGGCTCCACGTGCTCCTCACCGTGCCGAAAGCACTGAGTGGCGCGTCCTCGGGTCCCGTCGAGCTCGCCGTAGCGCACACGCTTCTGCTCTGCCCAAACCTCCGGCTGCTCCAGTTGTTCCGCTGCGTGGGGCCCGCAGGTCCAGACCACTTCCCTGGGGCCGGTTCTTCGTCCCGAGTCGTGTTTGCACGCTCCCTGTACGTCCCGAGCCCGGCGAGACCACCGGCCCAAGGCTCCGAGGCCCGGCGAGACCACAGGGAGGCCCACGACTGCGAAAATCCCGCCGCTCCAAGTGTTGTTGCAGCGTCGGACCTCTCTGGCTTCAAGGGGGCCCAGACTCTCCAGAGTTCCAGGCTCCGCTCCTGGGCGCTGTGGGCCCCCCTCGGGGCGGCTCGCGTGACTCTTGTCAGAGGCGTCGGGGGCGTGGCTTGGAGCCCATACTTCCAACATGGCCTAAGAGGGTCTCGGGGTCCATCCTGGGGCCCGCACGTATTGAGCCGCCTTGAAGGCCCCGGGGGCCAGTTTAAGATGCCGACGCCATGAAAAGGCATTGAAGGCCGTATGGTTTCGGCATGCTCTACGTTTCGGCCTTTCGAGCGCCCAAGACAGCCAGCCCAGGAGGCCCCCAGATCGCACCGATACTGCCCCCGAGGCCCCCCAAGTAGGCGGAGAAGAGGGGCTGGAGATCTTCCCGCGCAAAAGTCTGCAGTGTCTTCGGCGGTCTCCCGCCGCGCCTCTTCACGACGAGAGGAGGCCGGGGGTGGCAGGCGCCAGCACCGCGGCTCGCGAACCTGGTCACACCCTCGGCAGCCCCAGGCAGCGTCACCTGGGCTCTCGGGCACGCGGCACGGCCAGCTGTCATATCCGCGCCTCCGCGCCCCCGACGGTGCCGCCCGCGGCACGCGGCCTGTCCTGGGCGGGGAACCGAGAACGAAAAAACACCAGGGGGCCTGCGCTGAAATTCAAAAAAATGGTTGTTCAATTCAATACGTTTTTTAATGCAAAAGAGTTTCTTGAATTCAAAATACGAGAAACAAAACAAAAAAAAACGGAACCTCCGCTGAACGGGCCCGCCTCCGCCCCCCCCGCTCCGCGAGCGCAAGGGAGCGTGGAGAGGTGGGCCGCGGCGGGGCATCCGCAGGGGGGAGGGGGGAGGACGACGCCGCACCCTCCTCCTCCTCCTCCTCCTCCTCCTCCTTCTCCTTCTCCTCTCCTCCTCCTCCTCCCTCCTCCTCCTCCTCCTTCCTCCTCCTCCTCCTCCTCCTCCGCCTCCTCCTCCTCCCTCCCTCCTCCTCCCTCCTCCTCCTCCCTCCTCATCCTCCCTCCCTCCCCTCCCTCCCATCCTCCTCCCTCCTCCCTCCCTCCTCCCTCCTCCCTCCCTCCCTCCTCCCTCCTCCCTCCCACCTCCCTCCCTCCTCCGTAGAGGGAAGAACAAGCGGCACAAGCATGCACTTGTGCAGCTCCGCGCGCACTTCTCGGATCTGTGTCGGACCTCTCTGGCGGCGCCGCCGGCGCCGCCACCGGCGCGCGCCGCGCGCCTTCGATGTGGGCACTTCGATGCGCGCGCCGAGTCCAGCTCCGATCCAAGAAATTCGCGCGGAACTTCGATGTGAGCATTTTCTTTTTCGGCACGTCGGCATTGGGCGGAAGGGGGGAGGGGGGATTCTGGCTCTGGACCTCTGCTTCATGCGACTGCTTGAAGTAGTGCGTCCTGTGGGGGAGACTCCACCTGCTCGAGACAGGCGCCAAATGCAGCCAATATCTACTCCACGGGGGGAGAAGGAGGGGGTGCGAAGGCCCGAGATGATCGGCAAAACAATGAGTAAGAAAACGATCACGAATAAGTTCGTGTTTCTGCAAATTGTGTTGTTGCTTTCCGTTACGGAAACATATCCGTAGCCACGGCCTCGCAGCCTGGACATCCCTGCGCCGCGATCCCGTGGATGCGCGGCGGCTTTGTGGTGCGCTGGTAGCACGCGCGGAACGTGTCCATAGGATCGCGTGACCACGGGATCGCGCCTGAGTTTCCAGACAGCGAGGGCATGGAAGTGGCTACCTCGCGCGTGAATCAATGGGGGCGATCAAGTGGGGAAAAACGTGCCCCTTTGGGGCCTCAGGGGGCCCCTCTAGGGCCCTGCAGGGCACAAAAGGTGCAACTTTCTTCCCCCCCCCCCCGCCACTTCCCCAACTTCTCGCCCCCCCTCAATTACTCGATGCCCGAATATCTGGGCCACCGAACGATCCGTGATAGGGCTGGTCAAGTGAAACAAAAAACGTACACCCCTGCTTCGAGTTAGGAAAATTTCGAGGTCAGAACACAAGCTGCACTCCAAGCGTTTGCTTAAACAGTAGTCTGAGTCCAAACATATGAACATTCTACGAAGACAAGATGCTCTGAGAAATCGCCTGGGGTCCATTCCATATTCCTGACTTCTCTAACGAAATCTGGAGTCCGGGAACGTTGAGGTTTTCCTTCAAAATTCTGAGGGGTGAAAACGATGATCGGGACGACTTCGACAACGTTTGGCCCCGCAAAACCTGACCCCAGAAAACAGGAAGGGGCAGTGCCATCCAGGAGGCAACTCCGCACACAACTGGGAGACGCAACCTGGGAGAGAGGAGGCGGCGGAGGAGGAAGGAGGAGGAGGGGGAAGAAGGAGGAGGAGGAGGAGGAGGAGGAGGAGGAGGAGGAGGAGGAGGAGGGAGGGAGGGAGGGATGGAGGGAGGGAGGGAGGGGGGAGGGAAGAGAGGAGAGAGGAGGAGGAAGGAGGAGGAGGAGGAGGAAGGAGGAGAGGAGGAGGAGGAGGAGGACGCGCCCGAGCCTAGAGGTTCCCCGCGGGCTCTGCGGGCGCTGCGCCGGCCTCGGAGTCCTCGCCTCCTGCTGGGGCCAGCGGGGCCGCGTCGCCCTGCCCCCCGCCCGGGCGGGGGGCAGTGTCGGCTCGGAGGTACCACCCCACGCCGGCAGCAGCCGCGAGCAGCCCAACCACGCCCAGCGTCGAGAGGGTTGCCCTCGCGGGCGCGCCCGGAGTGGGTACTGGAAAAGTGGCACGAGGCAACGAATGCTGCCCAGAACCAGCAGCCGCCGCTGCTCGGGCAGGCGGCACCGGGCCCAGATCGGCGGCGTCCGCGGCGACGCCGACGGCGAGTGCGGCTCCAGATGAGCAGGCACTGCTGTCGGCCTTTGCCCCCCTTCCTCCTGGGGAGACCAAAGGTACCAACACTCCTACTCCCCGGACCTCTCCTGGGGCGCGTTCTAACCAGGATTTCGAAGCGAATCCAGCGGTGGCGACGTGGGCCTCCCATGGGAGGCCCAAACAGGGGAAAACAGCCGAAGGGTAAAGGTTTGGGTACCTTTTCCTCCTCTCACCTCCCGTGCCCACTTCGATCGCACCGACCTCAGCGCGGTACTCGAGCCTGTCGGCTGCTGGCCGCCGCCCGTACCCTCCTGGCTGTCCCCCGCCGGCTCGGGGCCGCCCGAGCCCACAACGCTGCTGCCCGACGCTTCCCTGCGCACCACCGGCGCAGGACTCGGCTCGTGCGCCGACACGGGAGACAGCTCGCCGCCATCCGGCGTTCGGCGGGGTGGCGGAGAGGGGACATTCCAGTCCGCGCCGTCGCCGTCACCTGTCGCACCCGATGGGCCTGGCGGCGTCGGGGTGGCCTCTCCAGTCACGGGCGGCGGCCCTGGCTTCGTGGGGGGTGGCAGCGGGGGGGCATCTGAGTCGACGCGGACGCCGTCACCTGTCGCCGGCGGCGTCGGGGTGGCCTCTCCAGTCACGGGCGGCGGCCCTGGCTTCGTCGGGGGTGGCAGCGGGGGGGCATCCGAGTCGACGCGGACGCCGTCACCTGTCGCTGGCGGCGTCGGGGTGGCCTCTCCAGTCACGTTCGGCGGCCCTGGCTTCGTCGGGGGTGGCAGCGGGGGGGCATCTGAGTCGACGCGGACGCCGTCACCTGTCGCCGGCGGCGTCGGGGTGGCCTCTCCAGTCACGTTCGGCGGCCCTGGCTTCGTCGGGGGTGGCAGCGGAGGGGCATCCGAGTCGACGCGGACGCCGTCACCTGTCGCCGGCGGCGTCGGGGTGGCCTCTCCAGTCACGGGCGGCGGCCCTGGCTTCGTCGGGGGTGGCAGCGGGGGGGCATCTGAGTCGACGCGGACGCCGTCACCTGTCGCCGGCGGCGTCGGGGTGGCCTCCCCAGTCACGTTCGGCGGCCCTGGCTTCGTCGGGGGTGGCAGCGGGGGGGCATCCGGGTCGACGCGGACGCCGTCACCTGTTACACTCGAGGAACCTATCGGCGTCGGTGGCTGGCCTGGCGTGCCTGGCGGGCCAGGTGGGCCTTGCGGGCCCGGCGGACCTGGCGGGCCTGGCGGGCCTGACGGGCTTCGCGGCGCCGGAGCAGGACTGCCTTGTGGCCTCCTGGGCCTGGCGGCCTGCCATGACGCTGGCTCGGACGGGTCGGGGGCCGCCCAGGCGTCGTCGCTCGGCTCGCTCGTGGGCGCTGGCGGGGTGCCTGACGCGTTCGTTAGGCCCGAGCCCTCCGGCGGCGTCGGTGAGGGTGTTGGCCCTGGCCCTGGCTGAGGTGGCTCGCTCGTGGGCGCTGGCGGGGTGCCTGACGCGTTCGTTAGACCCGAGCCCTCCGGCGGCGTCGGTGAGGGTGTTGGCCCTGGCCCTGGCTGAGATGGGGGCGCTGGCTCCGACGCATTCGGCGGGCCTGGCGCCAGGGGGGCCACCGAGCTGTTCACGGCCGTGGTGAGGTTCGAGCTGGTCGCGGCCGTGGTGCTGTTCACCGAGCTGTCCGCCACGCCTCCAACAGCTGGGGGGGGCGCCGAGCTCTCCTCGACCGCGGCCGTGGTCGTGGTTGTGATCGTGCTCGTGGTCGTGGTCGTGGTCGTGGTCGTCGTTGTGGTCGCCGTCGTCTGGATCGGTGGCAAGCCTTGGCGACCGATCTTGACGATGACCGAGCTGCTCGGGAATGCATTCTGCAAGGGCGACGAGAGCACCACCGTGGTTGCGTTAGCGCTTGCCAGCTCGATGCCGCCGGTGGCTTGCACCACGAGGGAGGCACCTCCGACGCGGACGGAGCTGATCACCTTCGTCTCCTGCAGAGTGCCTGACGGGCTGGTAATGGTGATCTCATCTGCCGAGGCAAAGCCCGTGGCGTCGGCAACCCCGATCTGGGTCTCCCCCACCTCCGCGCCTGCGGTCGTCAAGGTCTTGATTTCGACCACCGCCGCCGCCGTGCCGTTCTCTGAGCTGTCCTCGACCGTGGCGCTGTTCTTCCAGACGTCCTCGACCGCGGTGGTTGTGTTGTTCGCCGCGCCCTCCTGCGGCTTCGGCGAGGGTGTTGGCACTGGCTCCGACGAGCTGCTCGTGGCAGTGGTGCTGTTTGCCGAGCTGCTTGCGGCCGTGGTGTTGCCCTCCGAGCTGTCCTCGGCCGCGCCGGTCGCGCCGGTCGCCGAGCTGTTGGCGGCCACGGCGCTGTGCTCCGAGCTGCCATTGGCCGCGCCAGTCGTGCTGTTCGCCGAGCTGTTCGCGGCCGTGGCGCTGTTCTCCGAGCTGCCCTCGGCCACGGCGCTATTCGCCGAGCGGTCCGCCACGCCTCCCACTGTCGGAGAGGCCGCCGAGCTGTTTGCTGCAGTAGTGGTCGTGGTTGTGGACGTGGACGTGGTCGTGGTCGTGGTCGTGGTCGTGGTCGTGGTCGTCGTGGTCGCCGTGGTCGTGGTAGTCGTCGTGGTCTCTGTGGTTGTGGTCGTTGTCTCTGGCGTCGGCTTTGGAGTGGGTTCGGTTGTGGGCTCTGGAGTGGGTTCTGGGGTGGGTGCTTGCGTTGTTGTCGTGGTTGATGTGGTAGTGGTGGTCGTCGTAGTGGTCGTAGTCACTGAAGTGGTGGTTGTAGCCTCTGGAGTGAGTTCCAGCGTAGGCTCTGGGGAAGGTTTTAGAGTAGGCTTTGGCGTAGGCCTTGCTGTCGGTTCCGGGGTAGGTGTTGGAGTAGGCTTTGGCGTAGGCTCTGGAGTGGGTTTTGGCGTAGGCTTTGGAGTAGGCTTTGGCGTAGGCTCGGGAGTGGGTTTGGGCGTAGGCTTTGGAGTGGGTGCTGGGGTGGGTGCTGGCGTTGTGGTCGTGGTTGATGTGGTCGTGGTGGACGTGGTGGTCGTAGTTGTAGTCGTGGTAGATGTCGTGGTCGTGGTCGTGGTAGTCGTCGTAGCGGGAGCCGGCACGAACCCCCAGAAGAAGTACCGCTCCTGCCACTCGTTCTCGTTGATGCAGGTGCCCCCGAAGGCGTAGGCGCCTTTGTTCACGCCGTTGCGGTGGAAGTGGCCCCACGAGTCGTCCGATCCCCCGCGCCCATCGCATTTAAAGTGCACGTCGGCCTGCTTCTTGAGCCCGAAGTGCGTCGAGCCATAGCAGCCGCCACGTCCGCCATGCCAGTAGAAACCGCTCCCGATGCTGTTGCCGTTGCAATTGCATTTTGTGCACGTGTTGTCGAAGCCACTTGCCGTGAAGGTACCTTTGTACTCGAAAGAATGTCCAGATGTGGTGGTCACGCGAATGCCCTGCATGCCCTCCTTCTCCAGCTGCGCGCCTGACTTCCCGATCCGGTAGTCCTGGGGAAAAACAGGTGACCATCCATACCGCTACTCCGTGGATCTCTCCCACGATGCGATTCGGCCAAGAGTTCGAGGCGAATCCAGCCGTGGCGGCGAGGGCAAGATGACGGTATTGGGATCTTTTCCTCCTCTGAAGTCCGACGAGGCGGAGCTGGCCAGCGCTCCCACCAGCGCGCCACTGGAGAAGTCCCCGAGCGTCGTGCTGGACATGTCCGTGCTGAGCATCAGCGTCCAGGTGAAGCTGGCAGTGGGCGCGGCTTGCGTTGGGGGGGGCGCAGGTGCCAAGCCGAGCCCCCAGAAGAAGTACCGCTCCTGCCACTCGTTCTCGTTGATGCAGGTGCCCCCGAAGGCGTAGGCGCCTTTGTTCACGCCGCTGCGGTGGAAATGGCCCCACGAGTCGTCCGATCCCCCGCGCCCATCGCATTTAAAGTGCACGTCGGCCTGCTTCTTGAGCCCGAAGTGCGTCGAGCCATAGCAGCCGCCACGTCCGCCATGCCAGTAGAAACCGCTCCCGATGCTGTTGCCGTTGCAATTGCATTTTGTGCACGTGTTGTCGAAGCCACTTGCCGTGAAGGTACCTTTGTATTCGAAAGAATGTCCAGATGTGGTGGTCACGCGAATGCCCTGCATGCCCTCCTTCTCCAGCTGCGCGCCTGACTTCCCGATCCGGTAGTCCTGGGGAAAAACAGGTGACCATCCATACCGCTACTCCGTGGATCTCTCCCACGATGCGATTCGGCCAAGAGTTCGAGGCGAATCCAGCCGTGGCGGCGAGGGCAAGATGACGGTATTGGGATCTTTTCCTCCTCTGAAGTCCGACGAGGCGGAGCTGGCCAGCGCTCCCACCAGCGCGCCACTGGAGAAGTCCCCGAGCGTCGTGCTGGACATGTCCGTGCTGAGCATCAGCGTCCAGGCGGAGCCGTCCTCCACAGGACCCGCCGCCGGCGCCGAGACCGCATCAGAATCTGTGAGCACGGCGTCGCGCGGCCCGCCCGTCCGAATCGCACGGTCACCTCGAGGCCCACCGAGAGTAGCGCCGAACGTCCTCTGCAAGCACGTCAGGGCGACGGCGCGTGCCACCGTGGAGGCCAGCCTCCGTGGCACGAGGGGGGCAACCATGCCACGCCCTGCCGTTCCAGCTGCCGCGTGCACGGGGCGCCGGGTGTGCTGTTAACACCTGACCGGTGTGTTTCTTTGAATGACTTGACTGACAGATTAGCCGAGGCTACGGACACAGGCAAGTTGACTTGGACGAAAAATATAGAACACCCCAAAATAACCCAAAACAGCGAAAAATCATAGAAACATCGTCCCCTGAATATTGTTTGTCTATTTTTGAGATTGCCTCCTGTAGGGGTAACAGGCCCGACTAAAAAGTCGACTCGCGCAGCAGGAGCGCTCGAGGGGCCCAGCGGGCCGCGCGCCAGAGATCCTCTTCAACACGAAAGCGAATGGTGCGCTGCGGACTGGTTGGATCCTCCTCCTCCTCCTCCTCCTCCTCCTCCTCCTCCTCCTCCTCCTCCTCCTCCTCCTCCTCCTCTTCTCCGCCTCATTCTCCTCCTCCTCCTCCTCCTCCTCCCCCCCGTCCTCCTCCTCTTCCTCCTCCTCCTCCTCCTCCCTCTTCCTCCTCCTCCTCCTCCTCCTCCTCCTCCTCCTCCTCCGCCTCCTCCTGCTCCTCCTCCTCCTCTTCTCCGCCTCATTCTCCTCCTCCTCCCCCCCGTCCTCCTCCTCTTCCTCCTCATACTCCTCCTCCCCCCCCCTTCTCTTCGTCCTCCTCCTCCGAGTCCGAGACTTCCTCCTCCCCCTCCTCCTCCCCCTCCTCCGAGTCCTCCTCCTCCGAGCGAGGCAAACCCGTGGGGGTCCTGCATCCGAGAACCAGCGAGCTCGGCCTCAGGAGCCCTGGCGACGGTCCAAGAGTGCCTCAGAGGAGTCACAAAGCTCAGGAGAGCCTCATAGACGCCCCGGGATGGCCCCAGGGCGGCCCACTAGAGCCTCAGGACGGCCGAAGACGACCCCAGTATGCTCCCAAGACCCCCTCCGGGAGCCAGAACAATACATCCCCAGGGAGTCCCAACAAAAACACTACGAGGACCGAGAGGATCCCAAGATGATCCAAAAATACCCCAGGACGGCGGGGGCGCAAAAGGGGACACTGAGCCAGCGGGGAGGAGCATCGATCTGGAATCGGCGAGACATCGCCGAGAGATCTGCGACTCGCCTTCGACAGCAAAGCCGCACGTTTCTGGGCAGGGTGGGACACCCGAGCCCATGTCAGAAGCGTACAGGACAGTTTTTAGCATATAGGATGTTTAATTCATGAGTGATTTATGAATAAGTTGATGCGTGAGACCATCGTTGCACTGAATCCCTGCATTTTTAATACATGATCCGCACGCGGAGCATGTATTAAAAACTGCATTGTATGGGCAATGGGGGTCGGTATACCCCCCCTGGGCAAAGCCCTCCTCGGTTCGCAGCCCCCGTGAAAAAGGCGCCCAGCAGAGCCCCAGAGGGCTGCGGGGCAGCCCGAATGGAGGGCACAAGACTGCTCCAGGAGCCCAGTGGGGCTCCAAAGAGGCCCTCGAGGCCCCCACGAGCGGACTGGAATTGCCCACAAGAGACACCCCAGAGGATCCCCAGACGTACCCGCTGTCGCCAGCACATACTGGCGACAACGATACGACAAGAACTCCACTACAAACAATGTAAGTGTGCTGCCTCAGAGGTTCCGGAAAGCGGCGTGAAAAGAAACGAGGAGGGAAGGAAGGAGGGGAGGAGAAAGAGGCAGAGGAAGGGGGAGGTGCAGCAGGGGAGGGAAGAAGAACCAGCTGCCCAGCGCGCTGGAACCCCGAAAAGTGCACAGTAGAGCCCTCGAGAAGACGTCAAGAGGGACCCAAGACTGCCCCAAGACAGGCACGAGTGTTCGGCAACGTGTCGAGGCCACACCAGCGAACACTCACTGATCGGGAGATTTGTGCCAGCTTCCCCCTGCCCCGCCCTGTGGCCTCGGGATGGCCACCTCCAGGAACCCTGGATCCACAAATCATGGCGTCTCTTTTTGTGCTTCCGCCGCCTTCCCGTCGACCTCAGGCGGAGCCGCGCCGTGCTGGTTCCGCCACGTTCCGCTGGCCTTCCGTTTTTGTCCCCCTCTGCACCACACCACAAGCGAGCGTGCCGTCCCTGAACTTGCTCCGAGACGTGCAGCCAATGACATGTGAAACCGATGAGGCGAAGAATGGAGCAGACAGCAGACAGGGAAGAGCGGAGACAGCGAGAAGGCAGCGCGGGCGCCGAAAGCAGCAGACACGCGCGGCAGAAGCAAGAGGAGCAAGAGGAGCAAGAGGGGCAAGAGGATAAGGAGAGAACGGCCAAGGACAAACAGCGGAGCCTTCTGCTGGCCTTCCGCCGAGGAAGAGACATCAAGTTCCCGATCCCTCAAAGGCGAGGGCCTTTTTCTGGAACGCCGCAGATAAGGACTCCCCCGCCATGCGGGCCGTGGGCCGGGTCACACAGACTTGCTGGCAGATAAAGCCATGCGCTGGCCGACCGCATGCCCGAGGCGGCCTCGCGCATTCCGCCAAGCAGCCGCCGCTCCCAAGTGGCCCCAAGATGGCGGCAATGGGGGCCCAAGATGGCGCAAGAGTGTCACAAGGGAGCCAAGGATGGCTAAAGTTCGCCCTGGGACGGCCCCAAGACGTCCCAGAATGGCCCAAGAAGCCCCAAGCTAGTGCCCAAGATGGTCCGATTACGGGCTTCGCCCGACAAGCGGCCCCAAGGACACCACAGACTGCCACAGCTCTCTTTTTTGATGATCTGTTTCTCTCTCTCTCTCTCTCTCTCTCTCCCTCTCTTCTTCGGTCTCTCTCTCTCTCTCTCTCTGTCTCTGACTCTCTCTGCTTTTTGTTTCTCTCTCTCTCTCTCTCTCTTCTTTTCTCTCTCTCTCTCTCTCTCTCTCTCTCGGGACGCCAAGATAACTCTAAGAGGCCCCGTGGGATTCCAAGAGGCCTCGAGAAGGCCCCGAACCAGCCTAAACAATGCCCCATGACGACCACGGATGCTCGACCGCATGTGTGCCGAGCCCATATCCCCGAACACTCACTGATTGGGAGATCTGCGTGAGCATTTCCCCCTGGGAGGCCGCCGTGACTCCCGCCAGGGCTTCTCGCTTGCGGGCTCCAAGAATACGACTTGTCCGCCTCACTCCCAGATCGGTTGAAAATCAACCCTGGACCAATCCCAGACACCCTGCTGATTATTTGTTTACCCAAGTTCACTCACGAAGGTCCCAAGTAGATGGCACCGACATGGACCTCAAACGATGTGATTGATCTGGCGGCATTGAGGAACATGCTAACAGGCAGGTGGATGCCAGCGGGAGCCATTGTTACAAGAATGTGGCAACGATGGGTTGTGGTGATGATCGGGTTGGTGATGGTGCCATGATGGCGGCTGCGAAGCACGCGGCGGACAGTGTTTCCAGCGCACAGTGGAGAAAGGGAGGAGATCACCCCGCAGGGCTTAGGGGAGAGACTGCACATCGCACAAAATGGCGCCAACCTAATGTAGTTACTTTTCGGCGCCTTGGTGGCCGATGCACCCATCCATTTCGCGAACACGAGTGGGCAACGAAGGCAAAAACAACTACAATGGCCCTGGACTCGCGCAGAAGGAAAAGGCGAGAAGGAGGAGCAGGCAGAGGAGCAGGAGGGGAGAGGTAGACAAAAACCAAAACTCGAGCGTGCGCAGACCGACACGGGTAGGCGGCACGCGGACAGAGCCCTCGCGAGAACCTTCGGTGGAGGAGCGAGAGGGGAGGAGGTGGAGAAGGGCACAAGCTGGCCGCAATGCATGCCAGCAGCCTTTGTGCCGAACGCTAAGCAGGCAACTGGCGAGCAGGCCCCAAGAACATCACCCCCATGACAAACTATCACTGCAGAAATGAACATTCAAAACAAGGCGCCAACTTAAGAGGAGCGACCGGCTTTACGATGAATACTGCAAGTGTCCCCCGATACATATCGCTGGCCGAGGAAGAGGAGGAGGAGGAGGAGGAGGAGGAGGGAGAGGACGAGGACAAAGACAGGGACGAGGGGGTCAATGGGAACAAAAGGGCGCGGCAGCGACAGTGCGGCACTCGAAAATGAAACCAAAAGGACGTGACTGCAAAAGTGGCCAGAGAACCCAAAGGAACGGCGAGGTCTCATTCCGATGTGCGTAGGACGTCACTACGATGGACCCCCGACAGCCTCCATGCAGAGACGATTTCGCAGTTCGCAGCCCCCGGTGACGGCGAGGTTTCATTTTGATGTGCGTAGGACACGACTATGCTGGACCTCCCAGCAACCCGAAAGTGGCGACAACGGCGATTGGTCGTAATTCTCAGCCCACAGGGACGACGAGGTCTCATTCTGATGCGCGTGGTCGTCACTGTGGTGGACCCCACCAACAGGCCCCCAAAGTGGCGACGGTTTCGCAAGTCGCACCCGTCATGTACGGCCAGGGCTCGTCTTGATGCGCGTGGAATGTCACTACAACACTACAGAGAACTCCCAGCAACCTTCGAAAGTGGGGACGTTTTCGCAGCTCGCAACCCCCAGGGACGGCGAGTTTTCGCTTTGATGTGCGTAGGACGTCACTGTGCTGGACACCCAACAACCGTGAACGCGGAGACGGTCTCGCAGCTCGTAGCCCCCAGGGACGGCGATGTCTCGTCGTGATGTGCATAGACGTCACTGTGACGGACCCCATCACAGCCTCGAGTGCAGAGACGGCTTCGCAGCTCGCAGCTCGCAGGCCATCGCGTAATTTTTTTGATGTGCGTTGACGACAATGGACCCCCAAACAGCCCTTGAACGTGGCGACAGATTTGCAGCTCGCAACACCATGGGGCGGCGAGGTCTCATTCCGTAGGACGTCAGTATGGTGGACCCTGGCAGCCTTCGAAAGTGGCGAATTCTTTGGAAGTTCGCAACCCCCAGGGACGGCGGGATTGCATCTTGATGCGCGCAGGACGTATGATGTCTCATGACGAAAATCCAACACGCAACGCGGCTGGGGAACAGCAGTGAATAGGAAGAGGCGGAGTGCGGAAGGGAAGGGACGCGGAAGGAGGGAGGGGA